CTAACTGATTTTGTTAAATAATATCTTCATTGATTCACCCAAACACATTTGATAGGTCGGTTCATGAGTCAGTTATGATGCATAAAATCACACAATAGTGGCTATTCAATATAAAACTATTTAGAATATAACAATTTAAAAATTGAGGATTCCATATAATGTAGGCTTAAAAGCTACAAATTGATTTATTCCAAAAATTGAGGATTTCATATACTACAAATTGATTTATTCTACAAATAATTCACAACTTTACGGTTTAAATAATACAATATGTACATCATTTCCCTTAAAAATTTGATCAACCAACACGATTTTGATGATAATTTTTCAAATTGATCTGTATTCCTTTTGAATATCAGAAAGATTTTTGAACAAATATTAGTTAATAAGATTTAAAATTTGTAATTTAATTTTAGAGAATTAGTTGATAAATTTGAACAATAAGGTAACCGAAAAAAAAAAATTAAAAATTGAGAGATAATATGTATAAAGAATTTATTGTGTAGTCTAAATTTGGTTTCCAAATTTAAAAGTCAAATAACTTATTCTTAATAACTTACGGGTTAGTATTAACTTGGACGTAAATAGAATAATCAATTATTTATAGTTTAATAAATTACTCAACTACTTAATTTTTTTATTTAGATAGTTTATACAAAAATAAATTCAATTTAGTTAATGAAATAATATAGTTTTATAACTGTACTTATTATTCACATAGATTTTTAAATATTCATAACATTTTATCAAAATTATTATTTTATGGAATTACATTGTAGTTAAATTGAATTTCTGAATGAAAATTTTAAAATGGCACTTATTTTGAAATTATATTGTAATTTATTATCAGTTACGTTCACCGTACAGGTTGTGTACTAATTTTAAATAGACATGTTTTTTATAATTTTGCACAATTTAAATTTCATATAATATTTTCAATAAATTTAATATAGGTGAATTGTATTACAATTGATTCCATATTTTTAAGTTATAAATATTATTTAATGTGTATTTTTAATTTATATATATTAATAAATATCTCCTACCCCTGCATAACACATGATTCGTATTAGTTAAAGAAAATAGAACCAAAATAAACAAATATTTAATTATTTATATAAGAACTAGAAAGGTGCTATTATATGGTATCTAATCTCCCTAATAATATCTCCTACCGTGCATAGCACATGATTCGTACTAGTTGATGATTCGTACTAGTTGTTGGATGATGCTATTGAACCTTTGTGGAGATGGGGTGTGTTTTGGATCAAATTTACGTTTACATATTTGTATAAATTCTATCTTCTTAAAGTTTCTTATACAAAATTTCACATTCTAAAATCACAATGCTTGGCTCTTTTGCAGTGAAAGTTGTTGGAGTAATAGGTTATAGGACTCTCTTCTCTGGCCAGTCACCTTCATTTGATGAATATAGTTTTTGCTAGAGTCGGTCTACTACCTTCTCACCCAAAGTTCAAGTTTGTTCAGTTCCTTACCTTGTTGGTGTGTATTTTACATTGCACAAAAAAGAACCCGTTTCTCCTATCTTCCTTCCCACTTGTTCATTTTGTGTGTGTGAGAGTGATCTCAAATTAGAGCATTCACAAGCATAGTTCTAGACTTCTAGCAACACAATGGGCAACAAGATTGAATGAAATTTGGCAGATAATGCAAAATTTCATGGTGAAATGTGTATATGTCAGTAAAATGTAAAAAAATTTCATTTGAAGGAAGGATGACCAAATGTAAAGGTTGAGTAAGTATTAAACACAGTTCACACAATTGATGTAAATCTACCTTATCATTCTATTACATGACTAAATTTGATGGATGTGGAATTGGACATGTGTCTGAGGGACTTTAATAGCCAGTGGTGGCTATGTTGCTGCCTTCAATGGAGCCATGTGGTCCTTTGATTTCCGGAGTAGCAGAGGGAATAGCAGTATGAGAAGCTCTGGATGCAAAAGAATTCAATATTATCTGGTCAACAATTGTGGTCATTTCCTCATCAAAATAGAATTTAATTGTGGAAAAGATAGAATTTATTTGTTTGAAATATTTACTAGTACGTAGCCTATATATTAAATGAGTTATTTTTATAGACTCTGTCCGTTTAAGTCTAAAAAGCAATACATTTATCATCAAATTTTCACCTATTTTAATTAGCGTTAAGTCTAAAAACAATATGATTATAATATACTTTTCACTTTGAATCCGCATTGTTTTTTAGTCGGAACATTAAATTAGGGTTAACTTGTAAAATAATTAATATATTATCTCACTAATACACTTATAGTAATATAAATTTGATTATAGTATATATATTTATTACTTGATAGAAGAAAAAATAACAATTTTACTTATTCTTGTTCACCATATAATACTCAATTATTATTTTATTACAAACTTTGTTGTCATATAATATCATTATTATTTATAAAAGTTATAGAAGTTGTATAAATATTTTATAAAATATATACACATGTTTTTTTAGAATTTAATTTTGTATACTAATTAAACAACTTTGATTTACCAAATGCCAAAAACTCAATTCCATCTATAATAAAAAATTTTCTAATTTGCATTACAAGGATTTATAGTTTATTTAACATACTCTGCAATGAAATATATTTTAGAATATTTCATTACAGAAAGAAATCAAAATAAAAAAATAATCATTGTTGCTAATAATATATAAATAATTTCTAAAGAATAACTATTATATTTAAATTTTAATTTTTTACCATTAGTAAAACTATTTAATGTATATGGTCATAATCTCTTAATTGGTAAATCTATATATATATAATAAGAATTAACATTTATCAAAATTAGTAGGTCAATTTATGGTCAAAGTCTGATTTGCATTAATTATTTTCCAAAAACGACAAGTTTTATGTTCTTTTCACAGGCCTCATTAATTACACCGAATTAAATATCATAAAATCATTTCATATGAGCTGTTTTTGTTACACGCCATTGCATTAATTTCGGCCTAATAAATAGCGAGCATTAACTGCAACAGATAATATGGATAAATCCTTCTTTCATGCCATTGCATTAATTTTTTCACAATTTGGACTCAACTTTTTCCTTTTTTGTGGAGGGATTTATTTCATTGTATATGATTGATGCAAATTATTTTTTATGGAATCCAAATCCGTACAATACACTAATATCCGTACAATACACGTAGTATCTGTTGTAAATCTGCTGAAAATAATTTAATATATACTGGTATAAATCTATTAAAAATAATTTAATATATACTGGTATAACTCTGCAAAAAACTAATTAAAGATTAATTTAATATATAATGTATCTATACTTATATAAAGAGGTCATCCCATTTACTAGAATTAGTAGGAAGAAAAGTCAAAGATAATTAATGCATTCTATTTCTATCAATTAATTTTTATTTAATTGTTTTTTCCATAAAATCGGTACAAAAAGAAATGTACATAAAACAAAAAAAAAGCATATTTGATCGGATGATAAAATCATGATTTTACCAAAAATAAATCAGATATCAAACCTAAATTGAAGGGTTTGGTTGTCTATATAGATATTGATTTACGTAAATCAATACATTTAATATTTATAATTTGTGTAACGTATATTTTTGATATTTTTTTTTATTTCGAAATATGAAACGTATATTTTTGAATTTTTTTTTTATTTTTAAAATTTAGAATTTTCCTTATTTCTTCTAGGGATCGTGTATATATTTAGATATTTACATTATTTATGTTTTTTAAACAAATTAATTTTTTATGATTGCTTTTTTGTACATGTTTATTTTGTGAGAATGACGAGTTGTCCAATAATCAAACTCATAATGTTGTGTACAAGGAGGTCTTTAATAATATATGATTGTTTCTTTGTCAAATACTATCTTATTGTACAATTTTCCTATGTATCATAAAACTTTTATTTAATATTGCATCTTATAATATAATTTTTCCTAAATAAATATATTCCGTGCCTCGCACGGGTCACGTACTATATATATCCCATACATTTTTCTTTATTCATGTATATAATTATAAGACTGGATAAATAGCCTTAAAATTGTGCATCCCGTGCATTGCACGGGCTCTGCACTAGTTATATTAATTTGAATAATAATTTATTTTTTATATAAATGAAATAAAGTTTAAGAAACAACTATATTGCAAAGATTAATTCATCAACTTGATTTCTCCTGATTAATTGTAAGAAAAAAATCTACCTGATCTGTTACGATTTTCTATAAATATTTTTGGATAAAAAGTGAATATTTGTGAAAATATTAATATTATTATTAGAACTTAAAATATATTGTAATATTTATCTTGACCAAAATATTATCAACATGAATCACGGAAAATCAATACTGTAATTTATTATAATGAATATCAATGAAATTATTGCAGATATTAATAAAATTATATAAGGAAACAATATTTTTGATCATATCTGATTTGATCTTATTTCAAAACGTGTATATAGAAGCAATTAATGCATATACTTACAAAGTTTCCAAAAAAAGGTATGCATTAAATGCTCCCAAAATTTTTTATTACTATTTTTAGTAAATGATTATTTTTATTATATATATATATATAGATTTGATAATTCAAATTAATAAATTTATTGAACCATATGTGATTTTCATCCATATATTGTTCCACATTATACATGGATAATAATTTGGTGTTTTTCTTTTTCTGAATTTATTATGCAAACTCAATAAAATAAAGGCTCTTGGGATATATAAATAAAATAAATGAACTGCAAATAATCACAACTGAAATTTAGGGGAGACAGAGAAAGAGAGAGATGAGGATGATGTGTTACACACATACATAATCTTGATTTGTTTGTGCCTCCCTTCATATTTGCGGGTCCGCATGCTGTAAACGGTCTCTTCCTCATCTATTTTTAGATCTTTCATCCACAAACATTTCTCTTTTCTCACATTAACTCACACAAGATTGCTACAGGAAAATAAAATGGAAAGATGAACTCATGACAATTCTTTATCATCATCCCAAGGAATAAATACTATTCCATCCCAAGGTCTCGCAAATTATCTCTTCTTCTCTATTATTATAATCTTGTATATTTATTTCCGTACACTTTTTGAAATGTCTTTTTTGATATATAATGCTTTTTGAAGCATGCATGCATAATTAATAGATCTTTGGCATTGTAAGGTGTTTTGATATTATTCTTGTTTTGTGGTTTGTTTTATTGTTTAAACTGATATGTGTTCTGTTTTTTTTTCTTCTCCCTTCAAGTAGTAGATCAAAGGTGATTGATCGCTTCGTACAAAACTCGAGAAACAATGTCTAGTTTCGAGGGTGTTTTTGTCTCTGATCAATGGCTTCAGAGTCAATTCACTCAAGTCGAGTTACGAGGCCTTAAATCCAAAGTATGCTACTAAGCCAATTACACACTAATTTCATAACCAATCACATAGAAATATAATTAACTCACCGGCACTGCAGTTTTTGACAGCGAAGAATCAATCTGGGAATGTTACATTGGGAGATTTGGCGCCAGTGATGGCTAAGTTGAAGCCGATTACAGGCATATTAACACAGGATGAGATCAAAGACTTTCTGGCTGAGTCATCTTTAGATTTAAGCCAAGAAGTTGATTTTGAATCCTTTCTCAAGGTCTGCATCTAATTTTGTTTAGGACCCGCATGAGTATATATTGATATTCTTACATACCTTATTTTTATGTCTTTTTTTTCACTTAGCCTACTTTAGTGAAAATAACTAGTACTTTCATTGAAGAAGATAAATATTAACGACTAGTATATGTGTAGGAATATTTGAACCTTCAAGCTCGAGCCACATCGAAAATGGGTGATTCCAAAACTTCATCCTCATTTCTCAAAGCCACAACAACCACTCTTCGACACACAATTAGCGCACCTGAGAAATCATCTTATGTTTCCCACATCAATAGCTTTCTTGGAGAAGATCCGTTCTTAAAGAAATATCTCCCTATTGATCCATCAACCAATGCTCTATTTGACTTGGCAAAAGATGGTGTTCTTTTATGGTAATGCATATGTTTATAAAATATTTAATTAAATGTTAAGAAAAAAACACAAATATTTCTAATATATAATTATTTTTGTAGTAAGCTCATTAATGTGGCTGTCCCCGGTACCATTGATGAGCGAGCTATCAATACCAAAGGTGTTCTAAATCCATGGGAGAGAAATGAAAATCATACTCTCTGCCTCAACTCGGCAAAGGCAATTGGTTGCACAGTAGTCAACATTGGTACACAAGACCTAGTTGAAGCCAGAGTAAACAATCTACTTCTACCTATATTTAAATTTCTTGTTTTTGGTATATATATATATATATATATATATATATGCTTTTGTGTTTTGATTCATAGTGTTCTCATCTTGTTTTCCTGATATATAGCCTCATCTAGTCCTTGGATTGATTTCTCAAATAATCAAGGTAAATCATTTACTACTACTCAACATCTTATGATAGGAGTGAAGATATATATATATATATCCTAATAACATCCATTACCTTGTAATGTTATCAAATGTCAGATACAATTGTTAGCTGACCTTAATCTTAAGAAGACTCCTCAACTAGTGGAATTGGTGGAGGATAGCAAGGTATCGAACCTCTAGCAATATTCAATATCACGTCATGTTTCTAAAATTAATTAATGTTATCTATCACATATGTAAGCTCATCATTATTGGATTCTCAATTTGCATGCAGGATGTGGAAGAGCTTATTGGGTTGGCTCCAGATAAAGTTTTACTGAAATGGATGAATTTTCATCTAAAGAAAGTTGGATACAAGAAGCAAGTCACAAATTTTTCCTCCGATCTTAAGGTAAGGAAAAAATGTACCAATATTTACTAGCATTTTACAAGATAGATAGTAACTTTATCATGTAAAACGGATAGTATACAGATATTATGCTCGCTTTCTTCTTTTGGTTGAAACAAGAGATAGTTTGATTTCCATGTTAAATTGCAGGATGGAGAGGCATATGCTCATTTGCTTAATGCTCTTGCCCCAGAACATGGAACGAGCATGACATTAGATGTAAAGGATCCGACTGAAAGAGCGAAATTGATTATCGAGCAAGCTGAGAAACTAGATTGCAAGAGATATGTTACTCCAACAGATATTGTTGAAGGATCACCAAACTTAAATCTTGCATTTGTTGCACAGATATTTCAACACAGGTTACACTATATAAGTGGAAATTTTCACCTCTCTCAAAATTTCTATTATACAAGTTCCCAAGATTTATTTAAATTATTCATTATCATTGATAACAGAAACTCATCATGCCTTCCTTGTACCTTCAAGACACTGCATATTTACAACATAATCATCTTATGTTTTCAAATTATACTTCCTTTCAGAAATGGATTATCAGTGGACACCAAAAAACTTTCTTTTGCTAAGATGATGACAGACGATGCTCAAACTTCAAAGGAAGAGAGATGCTTTCGGTTTTGGATTAACAGTCTTGGAATTGATTTCTATGTCAATAATCTTTTTGAAGATGTCAGGACAGGGTAAGATTTCCATTTCTAGGTCATAACACTTTCCAACTTTATAAATAATTTACTCTAATTTTAATTCGTCATGTGTGTACAGATGGGTACTTTTAGAAGTGCTTGATAAAATATCTCCAGGGTCTGTGAATTGGAAGCAAGCCACAAAACCTCCTATTAAGATGCCTTTTAGAAAAGTTGAAAATTGCAACCAAGTAGTAAGTATCGGCAAGGATTTGAACTTCTCACTTGTGAATGTAGCTGGAAATGATATTGTTCAGGGAAACAAGAAGCTCATATTAGGTAAGAGTTCCATTGTGCTAAGTTCTTTGTTCAAATCTTATGACTCTCCACTATGAAAAATACTTACAAGAATTTTTTGTCTCATCGCTATGACAAATATTATACTGACTTCAATTTTGTTTTTGGCCAGCATTTTTGTGGCAGTTAATGAGGTTTAGTATGCTCAAGTTGTTGAAGAACTTGAGATCTCATTCACAGGGAAAAGAGATAACAGATAGCGACATATTAAACTGGGCAAACAACAAAGTGAAGAAATCAAGTAGGACTTCCCAAATGGAAAGCTTCAAGGTGAAACACTCAAAACCTTGATCATGCATTTGGTTTTTTTCTTTTCTTTTCTTTTTTTTTNATTTATGTAATGTCCATGATCTTGATAGGATAAAAACCTCTCAAATGGGATTTTCTTCCTTGAACTATTGAGTGTTGTGGAGCCAAGGGTGGTAAACTGGAGCCTTGTCACAAAGGGTGAAACTGGTATGCAAAACAATTGTCACTAGTGCACTTGTTTAATTTTGTAGCACTCTATTCGATTGGAAAAATGCATGCATGGAGAAACTAACAAATTTTAGAAGCTTTGCTCCCCAAATTCCATTAAACTTGTTACATGTAATAATAATGGCTTCACCTTAGAAATTCTTAAAATGATATTTGTAATTTCATTTCTCTTATGGTTGAGCAGATGAAGATAAGAAGTTAAATGCAACATACATCATTAGTGTTGCTCGAAAGCTGGGATGCTCCATATTCTTATTACCAGAGGATATAATGGAGGTACAAATACGTGTCATTATTGGTTATATATTATATGCCTCAAAATATCCTTAGAAACTTCAGTCTTAAGCCAATGAGAAGAATTGTTATTTTATCATATATTGGTTCTAAGGTTTAGATGTATTTTAATCATCCACGTGCATCTGCTAACTACTGAAGTTAATTTTATGCTGTTTAATATTGATGGTGATAGGTAAACCAGAAAATGATACTTACTTTAACAGCAAGCATAATGTACTGGAGCCTGCAGCAAAAGGGCAGAGACTCAGGGCAGTCATCCCCGGCCGATCAGACTGAGACAACATTCACAGAGGGTGAAACTGAATCGGTTGCCAGTGAACCAAATATTGATAATCCAGTTGAGAGTGATAAGGAAATGATTCTGATAAGGATTAAACATACTTTGTAATTTCAAAAACATTATTATATGTTACTTTCAATAGTGGTTGCACCAATGTTTTTGTCTACAATTACCACAAACAAACTTGTATGGGAAATGCCCTACAGCAAGAAAAATTATAGATGTATTTCATAAAACCAGAGTTATTTTTCTTAGCTAGATTTCATCCTTGAGGAACACAACCAAATATTTTCCTAAATTTGGTTGTGATTGCATTTGTTTTATTGTGTGTGTGTGTGTGCGCGTAAATACTGGCTCATGTCAAGTTATTGTGTCTTGGATTGAGTACAGGACAACACTGGATGAACATCTGAATGTATGAGCTATGACTTGAATCTCCTCTTTTTCGGTAATCACAATGAGCCTTTGTGTCTATGAATAATAATATTTTCCTACGAGTAATCTTGGCAGTTGAAGAGTGCCATAGATCCAATAAGAAGGGTGATTCTAGATCAAAAACACTGCCAAAGTATTTCCAGGCAAGTGTTTCTGCATTTTTTTTAACAGTAGGATGTTTTGACTGAATTTGGCTACTTTAGGAGCAAACTGATGAAGATTCATTCTCTTATTTGTCAGATGGGCACTGTGGTAGAGGAGAAAAGCAACCCTTGCTGATGAGTTGCTTTCTGATGGTACCCTTTGCTGATGGGAACTTTAATTGACAAACTGCAATTTCGTTTATGCTGTCGGCAATGTTAAGAGACATGCAGATAATCATGGCATCATGGTCTTCTAGACCTCTGATTTTTTTTTATTATTATTTTTTTTTCTGTACGCAACCTTTATGCAGAAAATGCAAGGTTCGAGAGATTGAAAAGGTAAATCGGCCAGCTGGGTTGGATAGGTGGAAGACGAGCAAATCAAACAAGCATGCAAAGGGCGGGAAAAAGGGTATGCTGCTAAAATAGGCGTATAACTAGATTTTCCATTTTTCTTGGTTGGATACATATTCTTTTGCTTAGCCATTTATACTCTTTTGTTTAGCGTAAGTTAAGAGAGATTAGGTTGAGTTTTGTGATTTTGGAATCCTACTCCTTTGTCTTGTAGTTCTGGAGTTCATTTTAAGCATTTTATGGTTGGTTTCTGCATTTTAGTTCTCAGTTTTTTGTTAGAGTTGTTTGATCACAAAAGCAAATCACCAATACATATGTAAATATGTATTGGTGATTAATGCTACTTCGATATGATTTACTTGATATAATGGTTGAAATAATGATGTGTAAGTATTTTGAGTCGTACATTTTAAACTTGATGTGATGTATAAAATTATAAAATCATGCCACAGTACATATTATGTCAACCATTATGTTTGTCAAGTATGATTCAAATTGGTATCTTCACCAATGTGGGGCGAGTAATACGATTGTAAGGAACATTGCTTTCCTTAGGAGGCTGTATCTTGTATTTTAGTTAGAAGGTAACTTCACCATTTGTGACCCCCCCCACCCCCGATCTACTCGTCCAACGAGCTTTAATGTTAAACTATGCAACACAAGGTTGATGATAGGTGACACACGGATTGACGAGCAATATCAGAATAATTTCATTCATGGCGGAAAATTTTCATTCAAGACAGTTGTTAGGTGAAAACAGACTCAGAGATCTAAAATACCAAATGCTGACATCCTGACAACTCGACAAATGTCACTGCCCTGGGCTAAAACACAATGCAGGCTGGCCTAAATTTTCCTTTATCATGAAGTGAAAAGGCATATTCCATTGAAACTCAGTTTGGGTCATCGTCCAAAACATCTGAGCACAGAAGAAGCCAAGGTCGATGAGAGGAATTTCAGCCCAGCCGATCCTCCGGGAAAGTACGAGATGCAATAGTACGACAGTGCAAGGACCTATCCAGCCAAAAAAAAGGGGGGAAAAAAATAGGGCTATAATTACAGAAGTTCATAATTCAAGTCTGAATGAGAACAATAGTAATATAATGATGATAAAGATGAAGACCGAAGAAATGGGTTTGATACCTGCAACACAGAGAAAAGAACAGAAAGAATGTAGCTGTGGAGAACCATGGATACATAAATTGTGCCCGCCATGCTTCCAAGAAATCCCAACGTAAAAGGTAGTCTCTGGAGAGAAATCAAGAATAAACAAAACGTATAAATAAATAAGTTGGTGAAAATGAGTCCACGAGTAAAGATAAGGAGAATAATTAAAGAGTACCCAATAGCTATTGAAAAGATCAGCCAACTGTTAAAAAAAGTACCTCTTTTGATAACATGTGACTGAGCTGACTTTTTGGGCCCTTGAGGGCAAAAAATGAACCGACTATAAAGGTACACCCAATAGTGAAGCAGATTGCAAACTTCTGGGGTTTGAGCACCATTACAGGTAGGAAAATGGTGAAAGCAATGAAGATGAAAAAGACGCCAGCAGCAAGGAAGAACCCAAAGTACATTAGAGACTTTCCTGAAGGAACATTGCTTGTGGCAGAGTTGAAGCTCCCAGGTAACTCTCTCACTCCTTTCGAAACTCTATTCAGGATAACAGAGAAAAAGTCAAGTTGAGAGATACTGATATACATGTATAGGTGAACCTCCCCAAATAACATTACTTTCTGTATAATTGACAGCAGGTCATCCGAAGTCCGAACAGAAAACATTTGACATTTCTCATCAACATGCAGTTATGCAACTTGGTGCATGTAACTTGGTTCTCACTTGCTGGCTTCAATCAGAAAATAACTGAACCACCAGGAAAATGGCCAAATATGCATTTGCTTGAAAGATAAACAAACTTGGCAATAATTTCCATCCATCTTGCCTAACTTCTGAAAAATTCTTTTTCCTTGGCAAGATCCATAAGATTTAATCACCGCAAATCCAACAATGTGGGCATATGGCCAGCATGATATGAACTATTGTTTGGCTGGGGACATCTAAAACGTACTTACAAATTTCGGAACCACAACATCTGACCAAAATTACAAAACCACAACATCTACCTAAGAAAAGTCCACTGCTGCATGCAATGACCCTTTTCACGAGTGGAGATCCCATCATTATCATTAGCCTGCATGGTTGCATCTCAATACTATTTACCCAATACTATTTACCTTACAAATCTCTATGGAATCTTCAAGTCATAAAATCATGACTTGGCGTGATGTTTTGAGAAGACTGTAAGACGCAGGTATAAGTTTTTACTGCTTTCTCCACAAATTCTTGACATAATGCTCATACATACACATGTTGTAATCTGTTTTCACTTGTTATGGGTCAAGTGCAATCTAAGTAATTATAGGCTCTAAATTCCTTTAGTACGTGGGCGTGTGTGGCATCATAAAATAATCTGAAAATCTCTAATACAATAACTGAAGTAGTATATAAGTGTCAACCCTTCATGCAAATGTACAAATCAGGCCCAGCAGCACATAAAAATATATTATTAACACAAAAGAACATCAATAAAGTTATGTTCTTCAAGCATGTTTGTACAATGACTTTGGTTTTGGGGGATATGACCCACTAATATGCAACTGGAGACTGATCACAGCAACTTGATTCTAAACGCTCACTTTGCATTTTGCAATGCATCTTCAACAATGTCATTGTATTAGAATGGGAACCTCTACTGGCGCAGTTTATTGTAATTACTTTCCTGAATGACTGTTTGGCGATAAGGTATACTACAGTGAGTTCATAAGGTTTGCACGATAATAATCTTGTATAAGAGGAAAGATTCATATCCACGAATTGTGGCATGTATGAATTCTTTGTTACCTCAATTTCATTCAAAGCAAAATAACTCAACAGCACTTGAATCGTGGGTCGAATGTCCACACACTTCCATTCGAAGAAATCCAAATCGATTTTCCAAATGCACTTAAACAAGCCAGTTTCCACTAACATAATAGAAAAAACTGAAAATTTAGGTAATATACGGCAGTAAATATCTCAAATTTCTCTCAAAATCGATAGCAAACATAAAATTAAACCCCAGCTGAACAAGTAAATGCGAAATAGCTTTCACCTAGGTTTTATGTAGGGACACTTACATGCTGAAGGTGGATGTAACTTTGTCGTTGGCGGTCCTTACAGCAGCTTCGAGATCGAAGGCGGAGGGATCTCCGTCGTCGGCGTGGGAAGAGGCGGCATATGCGTTCCAGTCGGCGAGCAGAGACGTCGGCTTCGCGTCGAGATCGCTGCTGGGGCCGCCGGAGAACCAAGCCTGCGCCGTTTTATGCATATCCGATCGTACAGTTTCGATAGCCGCTGTGGGATACAGAGGGCGGGACTGAGTTACTTACCGCGGCAAACTGGCGGTCGTTTCAGAAATGAGCGCAGCACTCTCCTTTCATTTTCCCTGAATCTCGTTAATTTACGAATATTTATATTAGTTGTTTATTTTAGAAACTAGTACGAATATCGTACCATGTACAGAGGTGGACAGTTTCAAAACTATTTACCCAACCTTATTATTATATTCATGAATAAAAAAAATTTAATAAATAAAATAAAAAATATATATTATATATGATTAAAAACCACCATACCTATTTGCAAGATGAAGTGCACTTCTAATATAAATATCTAATAAAGAATAAAAATCAATAAAATAAGATAAATTGATTAATATCCATTATCCATTGTAAGATATTAAATATTTGTCAGTTGATTAACTACAATTTACTTGTTACGTCACCAAGCGGAGTACGTTAAAAAGTATGAAAGGTAGAGTGTGATTTCGCCGTATTAGCATTAGCCAGCGATTGGGTAACAGGAATATCTAACAAAAAAGAAAAAAATATCTCAAACATACTTCACATGTCAAAATAAACAACTTAATTTTAGATTACTACACTATTACAAATTTCATAAATAATAAAACATTTAAATAAATACAATNAGATGCCTTGTCCATAACTTAAGGGTCTGTACATTAAAAACGGCCCACATCATATGATTTAGAGTCTAGAAAAATATCAATCCACTTACCAAACCTTTAATCGAACGGTCGAGAAAAGTCAAACAAAAATGAACAACTTGAATTTAATGTCAAAGTAGTATATAACAATGACTCGGATCATTTAGAGGGTTTCATCCGCTTTCCATTTCTCCGCCGCATCTCACCCAACGTCAGCCATTTTGTTCTTATGTCCCGAAATTTGCTATTTTGATAAAAAATTTCCGAAAAAAATAAAGTTTACTTTCTAAAAAACAACTTGTAATCACATGTAAGTTGGGCTATCTTTTATTTTTGATCAGTCACCGTCAATTCGATTCTCATAGTTTACAAAAATCGTTTTTGCAAAACTATAATTTACGAAACCGATCTATGATGTAATTTAGCCTCGGATATTACCGACCGGAGGTCGATGGCCATGGCCGAGTTCTTTGTGTCGATAATCTCCGAGCACACCGAGCGGTGGTCTCCCGCGGGCAACATGAAGAGGCCTTCCATTGCCGTCATCTGCTCGTAATCGAAAAGTGAGGTCGAAGGGTGTAGAGTGCTCTCTTTAGCTGCTGGGTCCCACCTCCAGCCGCACACCTTCTCTTTCTCCCTTCAGCCGCCCCTTCAATGACAGGTAATTTCATGTTTTAAAGTTTTATTTTCATATGTCACGATTCGAGTTTCCGATTTGAATTTAATTTTGAGTCAATTAGCTTGATATGTTTCTATAATAGTTCAATTGTATATAATGAAACTGAGGTTTTTTTGGGTACTAATGTTTGCATTTTTTTTATTTTTTTGGATTTTCATATTTTGTTACTAAGTCAGCAAGCGATTTCAAGAACCAGAGGAGATTCGACGGCTACGAATGAAGTTTCACCAGTAGATGTCAACTCCAGACCAACGCTCTTTGCAACTCGGGGCATTGTATCCCTCATCTTCGTTTTCAATTCATGTAAGCTAAAAACTGTTACATTTTGCTGTTTATTTTGTGTACTTACGTTCTCACAACTCATAGATTTTATTTTTGTTTTGCTTTGGTTGTATATATTAAGTTTTCGACTATTTTTTCTGTTTACAAATTTGATAGATTAAAGAATATAAATCTATATTTTAATCTTTGCTGATTTCCTCTTCTTCATGTTCGTTGTGATTTCTGTCCTTGTGATCTATGTCCTTACAGTCATTGTCCATTGCACGCTATCAAATTGATCTTTGAAATTGTCACCTGCTGAAAATTGTTTTTACAAAGTAATGTCAAAGGACATCCATTATACACTACCTATAAAAAAATGTTTTATTGCAACATACAAAGTAAATTCGGGAGGTCACCTTGAACCTAACCAAATTTGTCATACTGTGGATAACAATTTTATAATAAAAAACAATGTGTCGAAAGGAACCATAGTTGTTCTCCACTGGTATTTGTTGATCCCATAAACTTCTCCTTCCTTGATTTTATCCATCCATTTCCTCATATGGGAGGCTCGTAGGATTCCAGTTATATGATGTCCCTATAATCAAAAAGTAAATAAACTAAGTATAAATACATAAATTAATTAATTTATAACAATACTATAAATTTTTTTTTAAAAAATGAATCAATCTAACCTCTTCGCCTTGAAAAAGAATTTGAACGAAGATGTTGTACTCAGACTCGATGTGTTTGAAATAACCAAATTCGCACTTCATTTTTTTTATTGAATATTAACCGTACTAAAAATTCAAACTCGATAATAGCACGAGTGGACAACTTAAAAAAATCTCCTAGATTTATAGGAGAAGACCTACATACATTTTAGTCATTCCATAAAAATTGATATGGAAATATATTATAATAGGCAAGAAAATGCGTATAATTGAAATAATATTATATTTGATATCAAAAATATAATCATGACACAATTGGTTAATTGTTCATTTGACATTTTTTGATTGAAAAATCCGTGGGTGGGATTCGGCTGATTTTATCAATCAATATCTATATTTACCACACGTTTATGATATTATTTAGATTGCCAAATCAATTTTGTATTTATACTAATCCACCCGTTTTTTTTTTTGTTATTTTATATATGTAAGTAAATCACGCTTTTCTAAATGTTTGATTTGATATCAAAATTGTAATCATGCCATAATTGGAGCATTGTCTATTTGGCAATTATTGATTGAATAATCCATGGTTGACAACATCTAATTTTATCTATTTTTAAATATCAGTCAATAACAATATTCGATATTATAATAGTAGTCAATTTAATTGATTCAAGACAATTTGTTTGAAATTCTGAATCACACGTGTAAATAATTGTCAAATCATTTTGTTTTTTATATTTTTCAACACATTTTTTATTTTTTAATATATGTAAATAATTCACACATTTTTTTTAAAGGTATGATATAATCTAATTTTAAATCTTTTGTAATTAATTGCAGAATTTACAAAACAAATAACTACATACAAAAGCATTCAATAATTAAGGTCTTCTTAAATAAATATTTTAGGATTTAATTGTGAATAAATATTATTGATTTTGATGCTATACACTTTCGAATGGTTGTTTGAATAGAAACACTATTTTTTTATTTTTTTTTTGTAATAAATCACGTATCATTTAATTGTGATTTAATATAGCAGATTTAGTTGATCTACATTTGGAAATGAAATTTCAAGGATCAAAATGATATATTGTTTTGATTCGAGCAGATCATCCCGTAAGCAAATTACATTTATTTTGTAGAATTTTTTTCTCTCATGCGCAATGTTTTACCGGAATTTATTTTATTCATATTTTATTTACTTTTTTAATTCGTGTATCACACAATTAGATTTGTAGCAACATATTACACACAATTAAGGAGATATTAAGTCAGCCGCAATGTTTGGCCGACTTTATTTTGTACAGATTTTCTTTCCCTTTTTTACTTCGTGTATTACGCACAAATCAAACAAATATTGCCGCATTTTTTACCAATCTATATATTGTATAGATTTTGTTGACTTTGTTACTTCAAAATTCAAAATATGACCGCCCATTATCAAAAGAACGAAATTAAAGAAGCGTGATAATGGTAAAATAGAAGCGGGAACTGAAATCATTTTTTCAATATTTTTCAAATAATATTTCTTCTCCGTATTATATAGTAATAGATTCTTCAAGAGAGAAGATGCATGATTAGTGTGGGAGGTGTATATATAAGCATGGAAATAATATTATTCATTTATTCTTTACCAATATTAATAATCATAATTGTTGGTTTACAGTTGTTAACCAAAACGAGCTCGTTGAAGGTATAAGCTCGACTTGGGCCTTTGATAACGAACTATTACGTAACCCCGTGCAATGCACTGACTGTATTTATTTTGATAAAATTTATAATTAAAGGTTATTAATCAATAAGTTATAATACGTAGAACATTTGTCATGTAATAATAAAATGTTCATCACGAAAAAGTCATACATTATTAAATTCCTCCTTGTTTTTCCATGCAAAATTATTTTGCACTTGACAACTGTAGATCGATATTTACCAAGATGCTCTCCACTTGGTAATTACGAATTACATAGACACCTCATTTCTCTAAGTATTTGTTGATTTTTGAATTGTTAATACCACGAAATAAAATTATAGTGAAAATATGTATGTGATAAATACTAACGATATGATTTATCGAATGAAGTTTAATTTTTGATAATATATATATATATATATATATATATATTTATATATATAAAGTTGTTACCATAAAGTGTAGATTTTGAGTATATTTTTGTTTATAATGACTTAACCTTATTCTTATTTTATATAGATTTTAATAAATCATCCACGCATTTCATATCCACAAATTGAATTTTACAAATGTTTTTATGTATAAATTAAAACTTTTCAAGTATGCTGCTTCTAGAGACATGAGCACAATCAAACTCGGCTTATTTATCATTTTTCTTATGATTTAATTGCATATTTCACATTGTGCATCCTAGATAATTATGAGAAGAAGATTATTAGTGTTAACAGAAAAAATTTGGGTATAAATCAAAATCAATAATTAATTTTTGGTAAATCGAGAACGTTATATTATTATGTTGTATTATTATATTATTAAATTATTTGGTATACCTATCTTTTTTCGACAGATTAATAGCATTATATTATTAAATTATTTGATTCCATAAATATAGGGTTTTATAAGGATACTGCTAAGTTAAATTAATAGGTATTTGACACATAAATCTAGATCTTACAGGAATTTTAAACTGATTATACTCTTTGTTTTGGCATAATTATATTATTATAATACTAAACTATTTGATTTCATAAAAGCCGGGAAATGCTTCCATAAGCTATTAAATCAGTTGATTCCATAAACTGATCACAATTAATGCTCTAAATCAGTTGATTCCATAAGCTATTAAATCAGTTCACTAAATCATATTAACTATACAAGAAGCAAGATTTCTAGAAAAATAACAAATACGTAAATATTCTTCCACCTATGATTAGGGAATTTAAAAAAGGGTTAATTGCTAAATAAATCTCAACCTTTTTACGTTTGACAATTTTATCCCAACCTGTAGATAATTGCATTATAATCTCAACCTCACTTTACTTATTGCAAATCGAACCTTAAACCGGTCGGACATTCTAAAAACGCCAGCGTGTTCGGCAGCTTACATCTACGTGGATTTTTCGGCTTGCGTGGATATACAGAAATTGTTTTAATGTCAATTAAACTGAAATTAAGAAAAGGAATATGGAAACGATAAAAACAAAAGAATAAAAGGAATCTGAATTCGTTTCGTTCTGTATACAACATTTCTAGGAATCTGCTAATTTATCATTAAATTTTTTTTAATGTTGATTAAACCAACATTAAGAATTGTTGTATCTGTTCGCAACTACAAACTGGAATCTGAGATTTGAACCATACTCAAAAAAAAAATTGGCGGTTTGACCGCCCCGTGAGAAATCCGGTGAGTGGATGCCGACCTGGGGCTGACGATACTTGCCGGAGGTCGTGCGTTGCGAAAGGTGACGATGGGCGGTGACGGAAAGGCCTGAAAATAGGGTTTTGGGGCTAGGGACTTGGTTCCGAAAATTTGACAAATGTTAAGGCTGTTTTGCAAGTTTTCAAAAGTTTCAGTTAATTACAATTTGACCCCAGAGTTAAATCTGTAATTTCAAAACAGACCTAGGGTCTGTTTCTAATTTTCAAAATTGGTCTGGTGCCTATGTGTAATTTTCTGTATATCCACGTAGTAAGCCGAAAATCCACGTTGATGTAAGCTGCCGGACACGCTGGCGTTTTTGGAAGGTCCGACCAGCTTAAGGTTCGATTTGCAATAAGTAAAGTGAGGTCGAGATTATAATGAAATTATCAAAAAGTTGGGATAAAATTGCCAAACGTAAAAAGGTTGAGATTTATTTAGAAATTAACCCTTTAAAAAATATGCAGTAACATAAACCAACTGCCTATGTGGATCTTTATGCCAACCAACTGCATTCAAAACAACATAACATATCAAACGCCGAGTGAAGTCACAAAATGCTCCAATATAGATAAATGAATCCAGAATTTAACACCAAAGAACAAGGGAGCCTTTTATATATATCTTTATATAAGATAAGATGTAGAATTACACATCTATATTTTGATCTTACATGTTATCACACTATGTTCTAGGCGCAAATGATAGTTTCTCGTTACCAAGATCATAGACCACCAATATGTTTCACTGCAGAAAATTGCAGAAAATGGACAATGGCTTATCACTAGCTACTATGGCCAAGCACCCGGTAGCCTTACCCTATTCAATAGAGTAGTTATGGCATGACAACTCCGGGGTAGGAGCATGAACTTCGAAAACTGAATTAACGTGGCCGCTTGGGAGTTTGAAGCAGGCTCGAAGTCGAGGGTTCCATTGGTTAGTGGAAGCCTAAGGTGGCAGGAGAATTCCCGCTATATACCCTTGAACGTGCTCTTCTTCCGGTGTTGTCCGTGTACAAGAGACGGTAATTGCAAGGTGCAAACTTTCAATTTATGATAAAATACTAGCTTAATTCACCCCACCCTTCACATGGACCAATTGGAAATCTAGAATTCTAGACTAATATAAAAATTAGTACCAATTAACTACCTAAGCAAAGTTTCACAAGGATTTACTGTCTACCAGAAGCAAGAAATAAGCACCAAAACCATGCCACTGAATTCAAAAGCCCCGAACAATGTCATGTTTCTTCTCATAATCGGAAATCAAATATGCTATTACATGCTAAACAAGCACCAGCATTACACCCAAACAAATCAAATGTGTCTGCAAACACTTATGTTCTTTGCTCTTTGGGGTAATTGATTTATAGTTGTGCAAGAAACTCAATATACGAGATTTGGCATTTCAAGTTATGTAAGTGTTATGTGAATAATTCATATAGATGCTTTATTTTGTGAAAGACTTAATAATTGTTGCTTGATAATATACTATATAATCAAGCTATAGAAATTGTCTTTACTAACACCTAACTCATACAGTTTCCACTAAGTATACCAAACATTTGTTACTTCAAAATGATTCAGCCCACATTATCATTCATAAAACGGTCCGTAATTAAGACTAAACAACAAAACATATAAACAAGTCCTCAACGTTCCAAGACCGGGAAAGATATTGACAGAGTCCTGATGGACAGATTCGGTAAATACACTCCCTTGTAACTATGGTGGGGGTTTCATAGTTAATGGGGCAACTATTTATGGCTGCTTGAACCATTGCAGCCTCTTTCTATTCGGTCGTGAGCCATCCGCAAGAAACATTATCACCAATAAAAAAAAAGCGAAAATAGACACAGACACACAAGACTGACCCTAATCAGAACGTCAAAGTCTTTGCTCTATAATTTTCACAAGTTTCCTTCAACTCACAGCATGAAAATACAACACCAAATAACAAAAANACACCAAATACCTCTCCAAATAACAACAAAATACACTACCAAACAACGAAAAAATCATAACACGAACAACAAGAAAAAAAGAGGGATAAAAACACCAAATGCCTCTCGAATAGTAGCTATTAAATGCACCAAAGATTAATAACTTACATTTATGTCCAATCAATACAACAAACCCCTAACTTTTTGAAATTAAATCATTACGGAAAACCCCGATAAGCTACAAACAATCAAAACGAATTAATCATTCAACAAGAATTAGAAGTAGCCCAAGATCACTCACCCCATCGATTTCTGTTGCTACTCCTGGTCAGCCGCATCAGTCCAACATAACAGTAGAATAGCTTGGTACCAGTGAAATCAATGATCAATCAAATGTCAGTTTCCTGTAATCAATAGATTAGATGCATGAAGTAACCCTAATAATATTTTTGCAGAACTTAAATATGGCTTAGATCTTGATTTTAGACAATTTTAGATAGCAATTTAGGCAAGTTTCGTTCGAACCTCAGTTTTGCTTTTTATCAGAGCCGATCGATTCAAAAAAGAGATGTATAGAGGTGTCGATCGAGAGAGAGATACCTGATTACCGCGTTGTGTGTTCGTCTCCTGCCAACATAGCCTAGGGTTTTTCCGACAAAGAATTTTTTGAGGTGGTGCCTTCGACTATGGAGAAGTCGCTTCTACCATACAATCCAAATGGATTTGCTATGTTTTTTATTGTGTGAAGCATTTCGTTCGTCGGTTTCTGATAGGGCTTCTGAATGAGAAGGAAAAATGCGAGAACCAGATGAAGAAAATGTGAGATTCACACTTGTTTCAGTATTTATAAAAGGGTAATTTCGTAGTTTTACACTTACTAAGAAATGACCTGATACTACATCTTGGCCAAAAAGTGGGATATGGTATAACTAAATCAAATGATAAGCAACCGGGCCTTCCTCATTTTCCGGGCTATAAAGCTTCAAACCAAACACATTAAACGTGTTGATTTATTAGCAAACTATAGGATATCACACCCAATAAGGGCAACCAAACACACCCTAAGGGTGAGTTTGGTTAGTTTTATTGATTGAGCTTGATTATTTCCTACTAAAATATTTATGTGTTATCCTTTTGATAAAAGAGGGCTATTAACTTGTTTGGTTACTAAATGATTATTAAAACATTTAAGTTGAAATTACTTTTTTGTCCTTTATTTAAAATTCAATTTGCAAATGTTTGTTTTCATCTTCCCACATCACCATGCCTGTTTTCATCTCCCGCAGCCCCAAGCTTGAGTGTGAAAAAACTCAGATTTCTTCTGAAATTGAAAATCCATGAAAAAACAATTTAAAAACTAAGTAGCTTTCACATATACCAATTCCTTTGCTCACAGTGTATTAAAAATGCACAAAAAAAATCCAAAACCCTAATTTTTACAACAAATAATTCCTTGTTGAAAAAAAAGAAATCAGATTTTTCTTTAATTGATACAAAATTCTACAATAGAAATTCCATTTATTTCCTTCTTTGTTCGTCGAAACACAAACGCTGAGAAAATCCTTGTCGGAAAGCAATATTGTTGTAGATCAACGGGCATTGCGCCGCGACATTGGGGGACTGTAGAAGGAGGGTTTGGGCCCCGCAGGTCGACCAACTTCAGGCTGGGTTCTGGACGGCACCGTCAGGACTGCAGATGACGCCGAACTAATTGTAGGGGGCGCGGTCGCCAGGAGCGGAGGGCGGCGGCGGAGTCATTTGGGGTTGACTTTCTTTGGAGCAGAGGTTGAACTTGGTCGTCAATGGAACTGGAGAAGAAAATTGAGGTGTGAGGATGAGAAACAAAGGATGGATATCTTAGAAAAGTTGGGGGAAATATATGGAAATTTGTGGAAAAAAATAGTTATGGGTAATTGTGTAAATTTAATAGCAAAATAACGATACACTTCACATCCCACAAAAAAGGTGGGATATATAATCATGAAATATCTTACAAATTGATCGGGCTATTACTCATTTCAAGGGCCTCATTATTGGAACCAAACATATTAATGAGATGGAAATATTGTGAAATAGTGTGATATCATGCACAATCCATCCAACCAAACGGACCCTAAGTATATTGCAATTTAACCCATTGGCAAATCATAAATTTTTAATATTTTATTATTATTTATATTTTAATGTTTTATGTTTTTTTGGTTCAACGTAAATACTAATTTTACATAAAATATAAATAAAAAATAAAATATTATAATATTGATTTTTTTTTGGTATTTTAACCGAATTGAATAATCTAATATTTATTTAGTATTTTAATATTTATATTTAATATTTTATAATATTTTTAGTTGAAAAGGAATAATATATAAAATACAAAAAAATTGATAATGTGCATTCCCACGAACCCTAATGTGCAATTTTTCTAACATTATCGTGCACTCTATTGAGTGGTATTTATTGCGTGCATTTCTATACAAAAAAACATTAATAATGTGTATTTCAATCAACATCAGTAATATTTTTGGTTTAAAAGGCATAATTTATAAAGTACAAAAAAATTGATAATGTGCATTCCCATAAACTCTAATGTACAATTCCTCTAGCATTATCGTGCACTCTATTTAGTGATATTTATTGTATGCATTTCAATAGGAAAAAACTTTAATAATGTGTATTTCAATCAAAACTATTTTGCATTTATCAAATTATTTATATAATAAAAATATATTTATTATTGTTAATTATTTTTAATATTTTATATTATTATCCGTTGAAAATAAATAATATATATAGATAAAATATAGAAAATAATACTCTTTTCATATACTTCGGTCGGTTCTGTTAGTTCGATTTTTTTTTTTTGTAAATAAAGTCGAATCAAATCGAAATAATTGAAATTTTGATATATGTGAATGCACACTAGAATAACACCATTTTTTTTTTCCTTTTATCGTCTTAACGCCACGTCATTGATCAGTCGTCACGCTGTGTCATTGAATACATTGTTATAATAATGTGCATTATTGAACGTTTACCGTGCATTTGAATTAACACTATTGTGCAAAATGTCATTCCCTAACGTCCATCATGTTTAATAAAAGTGTGCATTTTGCCATGTGGGTTTTTTTATGTACAAGTCCAAAATAACGCCGAATCAAAATAATTGTTTATTTGGTCGATTACCCAATTAACCAAAATAATAGAAATAAACATCATTTATATTATAAAAATATTATTTAATATTTTAATATTTGTATTTAGTATTTTTTTGCCACATGATCGGTTCGCGAATTACACACTAATGTGTATTATCACAGTCATTAGCGCGTACTTCGGCTAACGATAATGTACATTATGAAGCATAATATTTTTAATTCCTATATTACAATATAATCAGTTACATCATTTACATTAAAAGACCAATGAATTAAAACTAGTATTTGATCATGTGCATTTGCACAGCTATAAAACATGTTTATTTGTATTTATTAATACATGTACTTCTATCATATAAAAATTATTATTTTTCCTTAAGTTATTTTTATCATTCAAAATTAATTGAGATTTAAATTTTATTTTAACCATGCAACGTTTACATTAGTAACATGAATAAAATAATTTATATATTTGTGGCATATGTTAAGAAAATTAAGATAAATAAAAGAAAATTATTGGTGTTTTTGATTTTTAGAAAAAACAAATATGTGCCAATCATATTTTTCTTCCAACAATGCCACCAAATATAACGGTTACAACTCTGAATGTGTCAATCAATTTTAAGTTCCAACATTAGCCGTTACACATTTGAAAAAACTAGTCCTGGTGTGATGAGAACCGTTTTTCATGCTATTTTTAATTGTGTATGATGCTATTTTTCATATTAGATGATGCTATTATTTTTACAAGTGCTACCAGAAATTGTGTTGCTATTTTAAATAAAATTCATCCTAGTAAAAATAGCATCAAACACAATCAATCATAGCACTACGCCCCAATAAAAATAGCGGTTCTCACGGTTCTCACATTAAGACTTGGTTCTCATTTGAACCACATCCTATATATATGTATATATATATATATATATAGATATTAAACTTCTATTCAGTTACATCAAAAGACCAATGAATTATATTACAATATAATTAAGTTTCATGAAATTACATATCTGCTCTTGAAACTCATTTAATTTTCAAATTTAACCTCACAAAATCTGATTTTTTTTCCTGTATCTCTCTCGATCGGAGCTGCACAGTCGCCGCCCCTACCTCCACATTCTCTTCGCGGCCTCTTCGTCTTCACTGTCGTCAGCGTCGCCACCATGGTTGCGAACGAACTAACAACATGACGAGATTGGTTGGGCCACGATGTGTGAAGAAAGGGAAGACGGCGGCAGTGATGCGGCGGCAGAGCAGTGGAACCATGTGTGTCTGGAAGATTCTCCGGCCGGTGTCGCCGGAGGAGACAACCTTCACAACGTCGGGTTTGAGCAGCGGGGTCGGCGGATGTAAACAAAGACGGCGACGGTCGCCGGCGTTATCGAGCATCAGCGAGCGGCGACGGTGAACGACTCTGTGGCTGCAGCGACGCTCTGTGGGGTGGCGGCGCTCTGGGGGGTGGCAAGTGGTTGGCGTCCGCCGATCGATCCCGGCGTGTATATGTGTGTTGGTCTGTGTGCGTGAGTTCCGTCAGTTGTGTGTGTGTGTGTGTGAGAGAGAGAGAGATATGGGTGACAGCTGGGTGCGGGTTGGAAGATTTAATTGTGATGGGGCCCATTAATGTGGTAGATAGTTGATGTGTGATTAAATATCTATATTACCCTTAATGAGGTATAATTTTTACTTTTTTACTAGCCATTAGATCATCCGATCTAATGGCTACAATTTATTCTTATTTCTTTCACTAAGCACCATTCTCATGTGAACTCAACCCTATATATATATATATAGAAGATATAGATATAGATAATTTGATTGATGTAAATATTGTACGGTTTTCAGTTGGTTTTTTGTTCGCATGAATTTATTGGCTTGTTTTCGAGTATGACCATATATGGCTTTGTTTATCCGATTTTTGAATTGGTTGTGGTGATAATTATGCGATTTTTTTGGGTGATATTTTTAACCACAAATTTGCATGATCTGACTTTGAAATGTGTGGGTTGAATTTTTTTTCTTGTGATAATAATAAAGAAACAAAGTTGATTTGATTGCCTCTCTTATAGTAGAAAATATAACTTTCCAAAAATCTTATTATTGTAGGTTCGTTCCAATGGTTTCCGTGATATTATTTTTTTGGTGATAATTATGCACAAGTTTTAAGGGAAGTACTATTATCATCTTAATAATATAATACAAATTATGTAATTAACGATTTAGTTAAATTGAAATGTTTTTATGTAGTGTTTTAAAAAAAAATCATGTAAATTGAAATTTTGTTTGTAAATTTTAAAAGAATTTGGAGATTCATATACGAAAAATAATGTAAGTTTTAAATAATTTGCGGCTCACTCAAGGTAAATGAATAAAAATTAGTGTCTTATTCAATTAGATTGAATTGTTGCTATGTATTTTTTTGTTNATATGAGGTAATGTATGCTTTCGGAAATTGGAAAACCATGTAAATTTGCATATCAGTTGGTTCCACATTTTTTTATAAAAATTCCGAAAATAAAGTAAGAAACCCATGTATACTGGAATTTTGTTTGTAAATTTTGAAAAAATATCATTGATTGTTGTACCAAAAAAAATGAAAGACTCCATAACAAATAGATATGCTTTCCAATTGATGAATCTGATTTTTATTGGTACAGTAAATAACAACCTTAATCGAATAAGGCTACAAAATCTGTGATTTTAGAATAGATTTCATTAATTACGATTGTTAAGGTATGTTAAAACTAATCATTATTAATGCTTATAAGAGCATCTCCAATGCATGAATGTTGTTATTACATAAATTTTGGCAAATGTCAATGAACTAGATGGATTGTGAACCACATAAGAAAATTTTTTGGTTCACAACTTTAAATTTATAAAATTATCTCCAATGCACAATGTAATCAAACATAATATTATCCACTTGGCTAAAATTAAAAAATCTATAAATAAGAAAGAAAATAAATTAAATAATTAGATATTTTAAATGGTAATAATATTTTTATCTCTTCTATTTATTGGTTGACTAGAGTGTGAAAGAGATATGCGGATGAACTACATTCTTCTCTACATTGTACACATTAATTATATCTACCTCATCACTACATTTGTGATAACATTGTGCATTGGAGGGTTAAAAGTGAAAAAACTGATAAATTAGTTACTATAACTACATTTAAGCATTGGAGATGCTCTAAAGACTTGTCCAAAATTACTATAAATAGAGTGTAATTAATGCATGGCGGGAAAAAATTTTTAAAAATGATTTAAGTTAATTCTTATTATATATATATAGATGAGCTCGTTAATGGCATGACCTCGACTTGATGATTCTTGTTTTGAATTATGATGAATGTGTTTTGTGCAATCTATATGAGCTGTGTGAATTATAGGATTAGTTGACTGATCACCATTCTAACATAGTTAATCGATGTTTAGAACCGAGAGGGGAGACGTCGGTCGATTTAGGCTCGTATAGAGTAGACATGTTCGTAAAAGTATTGTCTATGTGTTGCTTGTTTGAATGAGTTTATCGTTTATGCTTGTGCTCTTGTTACGAAGAGTTATTGAGCATAGACCTCTAGACGTGTAGGCATGTTAAATCTCGTAACCGAACAAATAAGCGTTCAACATAGTTTAAGACTTGATGAGATTTCCCGACCCTAGAACTTCTTCATTTTCTCTAGAAATTTAATTATTATTTCTTTAAATTACTTTTCTAGTTCTACCTTGTTTTAGTTAATTCCCTAAATCAATCGTGATTAGCTATGTAATGTATTATCAGGTGCACACTGGAGCCTTCAGGACTTAGGTGAGTTGTCAATTATACGGAATTCCCATTCGCGTACTTGGATCTACGGGTCTCGCATCACTGTCTCAATTTATTGAATATTGAGTTTGAGCGAATGGGAGCTTTAAGCGATGAGGTTGACTCGCGCTATGTCTATGCACTGAGATATACTCATGGACTTCCTTGTGCCTGTGTGTTAAGGGAGGCATACATTGCTGGGGTGCCGATTATTGCCCACGATACCCACATTTTCTGGAGTACACTAGAGGTGTTAGAGTCAGGTATAATTGAGAGATTTATAAATTTATAGAATTTATCTAAACTTATTTTTACATATGCATATACATATAACTAGTATGTACCCGTGCGATGCACGGTGGGCGCGTAATTTAAAACATATTAAAGTACTTATTTTAAATATAATTAATTCAATTTAACATCTAATTATAGAAACAAAAATAAAAAAAAAAAATCATATATTATTAAAAACTTCTCTGTACACAACATTATTTGTTTGATTTGGGGGCAAATCATGTTCACCACATATTAGAATTTTCAGACCGCTTCTGTTGGTGACGCGCGAAACAGCAACATATAATTGGCCATGACTGAAAACTGGTTTCTTCAAGAATAAACCAACGTGTGATAAGGATTGACCCTGGCTCTTGTTAATAGTCATTGCATAAGAAACCACGATAGGGAACTGCCTTCGTTGAAACTTAAAAGGTACTCTTGCATCCGAGGGAGTTATCGTCATTCGAGGTATCAACACTTTATCCCCAGCATGGTCGCCTGTAAGTATCCTACATTCTAGGACATGATTGGAGAGTCTTGTTACAACCAAACGTGTCCCGTTACACAATCCCATAGAATGATCCATGTTCCGCAACAGCATAACCGGAGTTCCAACCTTCAAATGCAACTCGTGATTTGGTGTACCAGAACATTTGAGAGAATTTAAGAACTCAGGAGTGTGGATTTCTGACAAGAAGTCAGAATTCAAATCGGATTTACACGTACTGTCGGAGCTCAAATATACACGACCTTCTGTTAGATTCAACGACGACATGTATTGGTTGATAGACTCAACGATCTCCAACGTAGGTGCAAGAATGGCTCTGTCCTTCAGATAACTTGGATCATCTGTTGCATTCTTGAACATTGGATACGTGCTCTCAACAATTGCAGCAATGGGATCATCGGATGGGTCTATTAATAGATCATCTGGTATTTCAATGGAGGCACAACCATCGTTAACACCTCCAATAGTACCATCTCCGATGCTAGCAATCCAATCAGCAAATTTAGAAAGCTCCTCACGTTCATCCGAATCATCAAGGC